TCTCTCTCTCTCTCTCTCTCTCCTCTCTCTCTCTCCTCCCCCCCTTCTCTCTTTGCAATTCAGTTGTGCAGTCTCCAGTATGAACGTTTGAACGTTTTGTAGGTAACAACGTTGTGTTGCAATTTCAAAAGATGGGACACAGGGCTGGAGAGATAGCTCAGTGGTTAAAAGCACTCGCTCTTTCAGAGGGCCAGTGTTCAGTTCCCAGTACCAATGTCAGACAGCTCACAACCACCAGTAACTCCAGCACCAGGGGATCTGACACTGTCTTCTGGCCTCTGCTGGCACACACACACACACACACACACACACACACACACACAAATCTTTAAAAAATTCTTTAAAATATTTTTTTTAGCCACCACCCCAAAATCTTTTAAAAATATATTTTATTAGCCGGGCGTGGTGACGCACGCCTTTAATCCCAGCACTCGGGAGGCAGAGGCAGGTGGATCTCTGTGAGTTCGAGGACAGCCTGGTCTACATAGCGAGTTTCAGGCCAGCTGGGGCTACAGGGAGACCCGCCTCTGCCTCCCGAGTGCTGGGAGTGCACCACAACACCCAGCTAAAAATCTTTGGAAAAAAAAAAAAAAAAAAAGAGGTTGGGGGCTGGAGAGATGGCTCAGCAGTAAAGAACACTGGTTGCTCTTGCAGAGGACCTGGGTTCAGTTCCCAGCATCCACATACCGGCTAACAACCAACTGTAACTAATTGCAGGGGATCTGACGCCCTCTTCTGGCTTTCCCAGACATTGCACTACACTTGTACTTGCGTACATGTGGGCCAAACATCCACACACATAAATAAATTTTAAAAGGTTGGACATGCTATAATCTGATTGGAATCCTAGTTTAAAGTGCCCACAATATAGAGTTGAGAGTATAAGTTGGAATGATCAGGACATGTCTTCATTTCTCTGGAGTACATATTGCAGTGTGTGCTAGTTGATTTACCGGCTCTCATAATAAATCTAACATTTTGAAGAGCCGACAATTGTTTTCTATAGCATCTGCACCATTTTACATTCACATCACCCATATTTGAGGATTTTCATTTTTATGCATTCTTACCGATGCTTGGCATTATGTTTTTAAATTTTTTATTAGTCATCCTAGTGGGTGTGGGTGCTTTCTTGTGGTTTTGATTTGTATTTCCTGAATTAGTTGAACATACTTCCTTAACTAGTGAGACATTTGTGTATCTTCTTTGAAGCAATGCCCATTCAAAGCTCTTGCTGTTTGTAAAACAGGGTTACTTGTGCTGTAATTGTTGAGTTGTGAGTGGTTTTTTTTTGGTCTTTTTGAGACAGGGTCTCCCTGTAGCCCCAGCTGTCCTGCAACTCACTATGTATACCAGGCTGGCCTTGAACTCACAGAGATCCACCTGCCTCTGCCTCCTGAGTGCTGGGATTAAAGGCGTGTGCCACCACATCCGGCCTTGAGTGTTCTTTTTATAGTCTAAATACTAGAAACATCAGATATATGATTCACAAATATTTCTTCCCTTTGGGTTATCATTTTACTTACTACATTGGTATTTCACTGGTATTGGTTGGTATAAAAAAAGTTTCAAAGTTTGGACTGATAAAATGGCTCAGCAAGTAAAGATGCTTGCTCCCCACCCCTCCAGCTCACATGGTGGCAGAAAAGAACTAATTCCTCCAAGTTGTCTTCTGACCTGCACAATAGCACCATGGCACAAATGCACCCCCCAACAAATAAATACAATTTTTGTTTTATTATTATTATTGTGGTTTTGAGACAGGGTCTCCCTGAAGCCCCAGCTGGCCTGGAACTATGTCGACCAGGCTGGCCTTGAACTCAGCTCTGTCTGGGATTAAAGGCGTGTGCTACCATACCTGGCTGGCACTGTGTTTCTTAAACCGTTGCTTCAGCCTTGCACTTGCCACCAGGCTTGGTTTTTCTTTTATTTTCTTTTTTGGAGACAGGATCTCATGTAGACCAAATTGGCCTTGAACCTGCTATGTAATCCAGGCTGGCATTGAACTGCTGATCCTCCTAGCCATACATTCACTATGCTGGGATTATAGGTGAGCTGCCATGCTCAACCTGCTTTTTTTTCATATTCTGCTTTTTTCATATTTTATTTATTATTTTATGTGTATGAGTGTATTGCCTGCATATGTGTAAGTACACCCATGTCGTGCAATGCCCGTGGAGGTCAAAAGAAAGTGTCAGATTTCCCTGAAACAGGAGTTACAGATGCTTGTTAACCACCATGTGGGTGCTGGGAATCAAACCCGGGTCCTCTGCCAGAGCAGTCAGTGCTCTTAACAACTGAGCCATCACTCCAGCCCCTCAACCTGCTTTTTTTT